GAAGCAGAAGTTGTACAAACAAAATGTGATATAGTGTGGTATATATAGTTTCATACACTAAATTTTTATCATAAAATAATTAATCTTATTTATATCATGAAAATTTTCAAAACGGAGAGATAATTCTTACACAATGAGGAAAAATGGAACCGTGTCACTTTTCATTTTATGTTGTAATAATCGTTCAATCATAGTATATCACAGTTGATCATCGCCGTTTCCGCTTGATCGAATCGAGCAAGGGAAGGTATCTAACGAATATAGACAAGTAAATGTGTGCATGTACCTCGTCAGATATGTGCGTAATCTCTCTAATCATAATAATTTATGGGCTGGTGTACTATTTATAGCTTGAATTCTAGATTTTGGAATTTTCATGTGCAATTTCGTCGCACCATAGCGACAAAGTAGTTTCATACACATAGTTTTGTAACATAATTCTCTAGAAAGAATTTGACGTTAAATATAAAGATCAGTGGTATTTAATTAATGATATACAAATACACAATTATAAATTGCTGTGTGATACGCGCGTATTATACACATTACACGTTGAACCTGTTGGATCGTATATACGTGTATCGCAATTAGAACATGCAATTATAATAATAAATCAGCAGATATCTCGTACTTCTAGCAGAACATAACAAGCAATCTCACGAAAACATTGATGTTGCGATCGATCAGGAAAGAGCGCATTAATGATAAGAAACATGTCGACATTAAAATGCAATTGCACTTGAGATTAATTCGTGACGCGTTGTCGTGGCGACTTATGAATAATTGCTAGTCTTCAGTCGCGCCTATATGCCCGTTTCTGATCTTCACGCAACTCACGCGTGTTATGTCGAACGTGACGCGACTAGATCAATTGCAATTGACAAGCAGGATGGCTTTATTGTAATCTAGGCCGTTTGGTATATTATCGACGAAGGTCGTCGGTTCTACATTTTTTTTTTGATTTGCCGATCTTATATCGCCTGATTTGACGAAATTCGGTGCACCTGGTTATGTTTCTGCCGCTCTTTCGCTTTCTCAAATACGTTTGTCTCAAGAAATCGCGATGACTTCGATTCTTCTGGTAATATCGATAAAGTAGCACACGTGCAGGTGAATACGCGGTTATTGCATGCCAATTTGTTAACACGGAATTCCCGTTTAGACATGGAGGATCGCCATCTAAAAAAATGTTACGCCGCCATTGAGTCGCGAGGAAAAAGAGAATGTTCCGTCGCGACGCATATACGAGTGAAAAAGGAAAACGTTCTATCGCGGTATCGCGCGCTTTCCTTTTTAAATTCCAATCGTAGGCAACCGGTTCCCTTTACGACTCTCTGAGATTCCCGGAGGATTAAATTAAAGCCTGGTCTTGTGTGCTCTAATCGCCGGCGATCTTGAATCACGCGGCGCTGAATCGTATAGAAAACAACGTGTAGACTCCACGCCGTGATGAAGCAGTAATATTTCATCTCGTCCAATTGCTATCTTATCGTTAGTACAATTATTGCCGATACTAGACGGATACTAACAGGTGATCGTGTTAAAGGTTCGGGACTGTGCTCTTGTTAGTGAAGTATATAGTCATTTGACATATACTTTTATCTTATGTAGAGTTGTACTAAAATAAAACTACACATGTACTGTGCTATTAATAATTAGTGACCAGATAACGTATAATTAGATTTAGGGGACAATAATAATTATTAATTCCACTTTCACCCTAATAATTAAACGTGGATGAGTAATTAATTTGTATTAATGTAATTAATTTATATTAATCAATTGGAAACACATTAATTGCATTTCTCATCATTCGTTTATCCAAAAGTAACTATACATAAAATTATTATATGTGAATATAAAGCAACAATTTCGTTCAAACGTAAGATAAGTAAATAAATGCTTTGTTCAATGATATATGAATATTAATCTTTTTTTTTTTTGCAAAAGATATTTGCCTTGAGTTAGACATTCAAATATGATCAAGATGAGCTCGTAAAAGGTATATTCGATATTACGTACAGCAATGAAGTCCGACGGAGCATAATTCAACGCACGAGCGCAAAGGTTAATAGTGATTATACACGATACTTCTTATTTCGTACAAGTGAGATTAGACGACTTACTCTCGCACACCTGCGGCGGATGTATCTAGGATATGAGCCTATTCACTTGCCCGGTGTAATCTGCGGTAACGTCATTAATATACCGATAGCGCTGATGTATGCTGTCGTCACAAAAAGTGAAATAATGAAGCACTGGATTAAGTCGCGTGCTACAATCGACAGTGATTAATGTTACAAACGGTTAGGCGTGTTTGCTCTTCAACTCTAGAGTTTATTGAAAATGATAAAAACTGAGCTAATCTCGGCGAATATCTTTGTGAAATAATGTAAAGCTAACATTCTTGTGTTAATATATGATAGTGACTAAATTTCGCGGAAATGTTATTTCATTGTTATTGTATCACTGCATCTTTACGTGACAGTTCGATTATAATCTGGATGATCTATAGTCTTTTTATTTCCCACTGTTTAATACCTTGTCGTTCGTTGACATGATACGATGTAAAAACCGTTAATTAGTTTCAGTCGCAGAATCCGGTTTTAGCTAGAACTTCCTTATCAATCTCGGGATTAGCTATAGTATGTTGACTTATAGATAGAAACTATCATTAACCTGTCATGATTATTTTTAATGATAATAATTTAATGATTGTTTGACATTTTACTAACGGATATAAATAGTCTGAAGGTGCATAAATTATTATTAATATAAAAATTGCATTCTTATTTTATTATAAAGATTTAGTTACCAAGTTTGCAGTAGACTGCTTTTGAAGAAAAACATCTTATACTTACTTTTTAGTAAAGTTATATAATATATAAACTATTTTTAGTAAAAAATTAGTGTATGTATTCAAATATTTGTACACTAAGAAAAAATAATTTTAAAAATTACTGATAATAATAGGAAAGCGAATATAAAATAATTCCTCTCTGCCTTGCAATAGAAATTTAAAAAAATTTCTTTACATATAATTCACGAAGCGTTTATCTGTTGTAAAGCAAACAGAAACTTATTGTACATTTAAAATCGTATGAATAATAGTAGCGTTAATATATAATACCAAATCGTAAGAATCTTAAAAACAGGAAAGTTAAACGTAACATCCAAAGTACATTTCGGGATATTTAATAATAAGACGGCATGCACATACGAATTTCTGGCACTTTCGGAGCGCCTGAACTCGAGGGAGGCCACCGAACGTACAATTACTTGGTTCGTCCGAGTGAGTTTTTATGATCTGTCCCTGGTCCGCCCAGTTTTTCCTGGTAGAGTAACCTGCGGTCGCGAAATCCACAGCGAGTTTGCCGGCCGGCGACGGTCAACGACCAGAAATTACGCTTGATTGTAAACGAAGAGTCCTTGTCTATACGATCGATCGGTCGTCAATGGACATTTGACGACCTGCAGACCCACATTTTCTCCATCCGTTGTGTGCCATTACTCTCACAAAACCGTCATTATCCTTCAGAATTTCAAGGAAACGTCAGATTTTCAAATTTTACATTGCAAGATTTTAAAAAATTTGAATTTCTCTGTGTTCCATCCAGCTCTCCTGACCTTAATTTTTATAATAGTAGTTTCCAGAGTAAAGTTTTAAAAAATGTGAAATGTCGGTTGCAAGTGAGGAGAAAGATATAAAATATAGAAAATTTTAAAGAATTTAAGACGCGATCTCTGTAATTGTTGCAGTTTCGACCGTGAAGTTAACAGTAAAAAATCTAGCTGCTGACGCGTATAGTAAATGACCAGCGAATAGTGAGCACGAAGCGAATTACGTTCTTTATATTTGCTCTTCTCTTTAAGTGTGATGTTCCTATTCTCACTAGTTAATCATACCGATAAAGTTGTCGAAGGTATCGTCGGCTTGAAGCGCGAGCGCGCCCAACTATATCGCGAGATGAATACGCCTGTCCGATGGAACCTGCTTCCGATCGTGGTTCGATCCGGTTTCGCATTTCGGCGAGTAATCCGTTCCGCGCCGAGTACCCTCTTTCTCTCTCTCTCTCTCTCTCTCTGTCCGGAAAGATGAAGAAAGGAATCGAAGGACTTTACCGTTACATTCATCCAACTCGCGCCGTAATTACTGTTGCCACTCGCTGTTACGGACAGTCGGCCGGCGCGGCGCGGTGCATCGCTGAGATCGTTCCGCGGACGCTGCGCTGCCGTCGCTCTCATACCGGTCGTATTTATAGAGAGCCCGGTTGTGTGGCTGTGACGTTTAAATCCCACCGATAGGAATACGCGTGAGTTACTTATGACGCCGATCGCGGAACGTTATGCGAGAAAAGAGCCGAGCAAGATTATGGCGCCGCCGCTTGCGGGTACCGAGTGAATTACAACGGTTTGATAATGCGGAACGGGTTTCACGTGATATAATGCGGAACGGATGCGAGCGTGCATTACGCTTCACGGACCTGGATGATGAACTTTATCGCTTGTCGTCGAATTATAATCTCTTCCACACGTCTCATACACACTCTCATATTTACGACTCTCATATTTTCCCACAGGTTTGGTTCTGATTCCGTTCAAAAGATAATCATTTGAATATTTTCGAAACATTGACGTGATTATATTGAAAAATTTAATTGTGTGTGAATATGGAGAAGAAATTTTAGCGAATTTGCGTTCTTCGGAACATGAAGAACGCTAGCTCTTCTTCGAGAAAACTTTCCATTTTCGCGAATTTAAGAAAAAAAGATTAACGAAAAAAAGATAATAGCGATGATAGATTATCTTATTACCATAAGTGTAGCTTTATTATTATTATTTATCGAGAAGCGTAGAAATTAATGGACTATTAAAGCCACGCGAAGAGGCAGACGCGCAACACGTCTCGTTAACACGCAGCGCTTCTTCCACTGAAGCTCCATGAAAAACTAATCACGAATCTCGTAATTATTTCTAAGAAGTCGTTTACGTCCGAATACGCAGTGAATCGTAATTTTTGTTAGAGCCAAACCTGTTTTGTTATTTATTCGCGGCCACCGTGCGCCAATACAAGTGTCTGTACAAACGGATGAGGAGGAAACGCGTTACAATATTTTAAGGCTATTTTTGGATATTATGTTAATATTCGAAAATTTATTTGTGATTTATAACATTCGAAAAATCTACGTTTTTTTTTGTACTGTATATGTGTATTAAACATGAAGGCAGCATAAATCATTAATGGCAATACGTTTACGTGATTATGTATGTTATGCTCATTTCTTCCCTCTGAAAAAAAGGAAATAATGTTTCAACTGATGCAAATATAAGTTAATGATAATGAATTATCTTAGGTAATATATTTACCCATAGCCATAGCCTCCACTACTGGCATAGGCTTGAGCGTAGGAGTATCCGCCTCCGCCTCCGCCTCCGTGTCCGCCGCTACTTAAAATGTACAAAATTAATTAGCAAAAATTTCAGAATCACAAATTTTAATAAAGAATACCGTACAAATGAATGATCAACCATACAAGTATTGATCAGTTGAAGGATATTCAAGACTTTTTCTTTCTTTTAAGTTAAAGATTAAGTAAATAACAACTCTTCAGCCTCTAAAAGCAATTTTAATGTTAAAAACGTAGTAACTTTTAAAAATATAGATTATTAAAATTGTTTTAATCTCGGATTAAATTTTTAGTGATCAATAATTATATGATTTCTTAATAATTTTTTCGAGATTTTTACCACTTTACCCGCAACGTCGACAACCGCCGCCATATCCACCATGATGACCATGATGATGGTGATGGTGATGACCATAACCTCCTGTAGAAATAGGTACGACTACAACTGGTATTACTGCTGTATGCCCTAGACAAAGCGAGCCCCTGTTATGCGCAATTATGATGGAGTTTAGCAATAGCAATGTATATTAATATATAATTAGGATATGTGATATTTTTTTAAACGTTATATTTATTATTGTTAATATGAATTGCAAATTGCAGCTGAAAAAAGCTAAGCGAGCACAAAATTTTTGTTATTATTAATGTCCTAATTAAAATTAATAGTTCTCTTACAATATATATAAAAGATTATTTAATATTATGATTATTATTATAATATTAATATTATTTATTTATTATTTTATTAGTCAGAAAAAATAAGCATTATTCATATAACTTTTATCTTCCTTCTATTCGCTCGATTCTGCATCCTGAAATTGATTGTCATTAGTGTTTAAGCGTTATTTTCAAACGAGTTCCTTGAAAAGACCTGTGATGTAGAAGTATGCCATTAATAATTTACTTCTCATTTGATAATTTATTTTTCATTTAACATAATATTGTACATGCAGAAATTGAGGAAAATCTGCAATTTTCGTATCTAAAAGAATCCAAAGGAAAATCAATTTGATAAAGCATTTGTTCCAATTTAGAAATATTTGCAATATTTTGATGCAAATTCTGCATAATTATAATATATACTGATATATAAAATAATTACATATATAGTCAAGATTTCCAGATCCACACATTCTTAAAAAAGTTATATTGAAAAATCAGTTTTTGTAGAATATTCAAGAACCATTTAAAACATTAATCGTTTGAATTTATAACATTTTACAAAATTATTACATTCAACAAAATAACATTTATTCTGATCTCTCTAAGGTTCAAAAAGTTTAAAAGGCTTTTTTAAATTAAAACTTTAAATTAACATACAATTAAATATTAAATTAATTAAAAGATTATTTCTGCCATTTATTTTTCCGAAAGTTTTATACCTATTTAATACTAATTTTTTATTTAGACAAAAATCAATTTTAATTTGGTAAAATGTAGTTTAAAACTAATATACGATTTCAGGCATATTTCAACACTGAAATTAGTTGATAAGTATTCGCCGATTGGTTATAATATTGTTCCCCTTCGTAGTTAAGACTACAACTTACCTTTGCCACCATTACCAGAATAATGTCCACTCCCCATTTGAATACCCACCCTCGTTCGGATATTCATCCCATCCCCCTTCACCACCATCACCTAGATAATGTCCACCCTCGTTCGAATACCCACCCCCACATGATAGACAGTAGGATCTCTTTTGACGGAACTTCTTCTGATCACCCTTCAAAGCCGCGTCTACCATACTCTGTGCCTCCGCCTTTTCCAATTTCATTTTAAGCACTTTCGTCTTGCTGTTGAGATCGATCTTGTCGACCTTGAAACCTTGGTCTTGCAATCCGTCCGCAAATTCGTCGAGGTCGACAGGTCGATGATTTTCTAACTCTTCGTTTTCATCGTCTTCTACTACTAGGATGACAGAAACCAATGGTTCTGCAAGCACATATTTTTTTATTCAAACCTCTTCTAAGAATTCTCTTGATTCCATTAGCTCCTGCTTATCATTTCTTGTAAAGTACTCATTAATTTATAAAAATAATAAACGTCAAATGGAATTTATGAAAAGTTATCCCGATGAGATACGAGACATTATACGTCATTCGTTGATTTGCACTCACCTATTATGTCAGGTAACGTTTCTACCACTTCATTTTGATACATTTCCTCCGATGCGTTGCTGCTAATATTTTTTACAGCGTACAAATTAACTATGTAGATTGTAGCATAGCGTTCCTTCTCGTCCTTTTCGTCCTTCTCAACTGAGGATGGCGCGGGCGGAAGCAATTCGGTCGATAATGTGTGGTCTTTGTGTGTATTTACAGCTGAATCTAATAATCGTGTTAAAAATGCATCGATCATTACGTGAAAAAAATAAGAAACTTGATTGACGTAAATTGACGTATGAAGAATTTTAAATTGACGATTTCATTTGTATGCCAATGCGTGCATTCTGACATCATTGTTATTTTTGAAGACAAATGTGATCTTGTCAGCTGCATATGAGTAAATCGAAAAACTCGCTGTATTTCAAATTCTCCAAACAAACATTTAAATTTATGATAAACGGATAGAGAACGGATAGAAGAATTTTACAATAACAATGCAGACTATAAGATTAAATGAAACATTCAGAATATATCAAATGAGTATTATCTATATATATATATAAAGAAAAAGATAATTCTGCAAATTTGCATGAAAAAAACATTAAAATACTAATGTTATTTAAGTAAGAAAAATTCGTGTTATTAAGCTTTGTAATTTTACACAAGTATCAATTGTTTATGCCACACTAAAGATTATTATAATTAAAATTAGTACATTGAATTAAATGTTAAATTCGTTTAATTATTATCGAAATGTAAAAATTAAAAAAAAATTTTTTTTAATCGTACGATTTTCCAAAGAAGTAAAATATAAGAAAAGATACGAAAAAACTTTTATTAAATACGATTACAATAACGCGTTATTAAGAATTTCGTATGCAATGTGATCTGTTCTCTCACCTGTAGTCGGCAATCCGAAGATGACCGTGACAAATGTAAACAGGAGCACTAGGCTAAGAGCACGAACTGCCATGGTGTCGGGATTCGATGTTCCTAAGATGCACTGCATGCGAATCCTTTAATCTCGCCGCTTTTATAGTCATCTATCCGACACGCGTTTGATCCTGATGTAATTATGTAACGTGCCACCTCCATCGATTTCCTCCGCGTGTTGCACGTCGCACCGCGCTGTACAATCACTGATTTTTGGATTTTCCGAGGGAGTCCCCGACAGTATACACGTGCGCGTGCGCTTTGAAACACTTTTCTTCGAGGCGAAGATGCAATTATGTGCGTCAACAAGAACACTATCAAGAACACCGAATAAAATTCAAAATGCAAAGAAAAACATTGAACTTGATAATTTAGTATATACAATCTGTATAATTGCAGTGTGTGCGAATAATCATCTTGTGGTTTTTCATCGTCGATTATTCTGTCATGATAATGATAAGGAAATATACATTAAACGAAATTCTTTATGACATATCATTAGAATAAGAGGGTTCTCTCTCTTCATAAAAATAATATTAATGTTAATGAGAACAAAATAACTGGTGTATGACGTGTAAAAGTTAATAGCGCAGAAATTAATGGTCAATTAAACATTTTTCATTACTTCTAAAGCGCTGTTAGATCATAAGGAAACGATGAAAATAATAGGAACGAATGAGAATCTGATTGTCAAAGAGCCAGTGAAATATGTTAATAAATGACTGCTTAGAAATTGCATCAACTAGTAATTATCTTTTCTGAACGATGCGTTATGCAGAACAAATACAAATAGGCATCTTCATTTATTCATTAACGCATCATTAACCTAACCTAGTAACAACCTTTAATTATTCATATTTTTTATTTACTATTACCATATTATATTCATTGCACGTATTCTAACATACGTAGGTAGCCTTCAGAAATTGTAGCAACGTCATTTCATTACTTATGTTAGACTAATAGTAGAATGATTCCCCAAGTTAGCTATTATTGTAATTAAAGATGTTTCCATACATTAAACGTGGAATGACGTTCGCTAGGATTTCCCGAACTCGAGCATATATTTTTTCTTAATTAGCGTTGAAATTACAGCGTTCTCTCACGCTACTTAATAGATGTACATTTCGATACAAAAAAACTAAGTATATGAGATTTTTTCAAATATGCAGTTCTTTATAGTTTCTATTTATTTGTAAATTAATTAAAATTTTCTCCTAACATTGTTATGTTGAGTCCTTTTTCATTAAACATCTTCATTGATGTATTAATTTTCAAACAAATGTTATTTTTATAAATTTATATTTCTTATTTTATTCTAATTTAATATAAAATAGAAATTATATAACGATTAGCGTCTACGATCAAGTCACGTACATATTATACGTATGTGTAAGTATTTCTCTTTGTTTATTCCGATTAATGTTTCTTTGTTTACTTGTAATTTAATCAAACATTTCTCTTAGGACTATTATTTTGAGTCTTTTTTGCTTAAGAACCTATTGATGTGCTAATTTTAAAACAAATATTTTTACCAATTCTATCAAATTTTATATTAATTTAATACTATAGTGATTTAGCACTTAGAATTACGATCAAGTCGCATATGCAAACTATCCGGTTAATATTTCCTGTTTGCTTCGTTGCGGTTAAAGCCGTTGCAATCACGTTATTGCGTGTCAATTTTGCTTATGTGTAAATTTTCGCATATTCTATCCTATCATCGATCACGAATGTATCACCTTGCTTATAAAAACATCGATACGAGTTTCTTAAGTGCATGATGTAATAACATCATATTATTTTCGAGATTTAACGACAAAAAAATTAATTCAATACGTTTTACCTTTTATGATCGATAATCGTGCTTAGAGAGATCTCGCGTTTTGTAATTTACAATTGTGATAAGATGGAATTAGAAATAGTAACATAAGTTACGTACAATTATCTTACTATAGACAACGTAATATTAATTTTTAATGCTGTAAGACAAATATTTAATATATATTTAATAAAGTCGGTCATTTATTGATTGATAAGGTTACTGTACCAAAAATAATCACACATAGTCTCGTTTCTCTTTTTTTGTGACGTAAATGTTAATATTTTTATTGTCGCTGCTCATTCTTATTGCAGCTTTCGTATGCGTCATATGAATGTTGCAACATACAATATTGTAATAATTAAAATATATTTTTTAATACAACACTTTCTATTTACGTCATCAATAACGCTCATCTGCTAGCAGAAATAATTAGATTTTCTAAGAAAATGTGATAGCTCTTGCAGATTTGGTTTTCTGGAATGATTCGTAATTGTACTTGCGGATATTGTTACTAGGAACGATCTAGTGTATCGTATGTACGGTTATTCGAATTGTGCGTAACTAAAACCGCATGAATCTCCAACACAAATCATCTTCCTGTTGACTATAAAAAAAACGGAGTTCGTTTAGCCTTGGTTGAGATCGAGGTAAATCGGATTTAGAAATTATAATCGCTCTGATGATGGAGAGTCGTGACAAAGATCCCTTTGAAGGAAGATGCCGATTCGAAGAAGGATCCATTTATTAACGGGCTATACATTTCGTAATAATCTACTAAGGCGATATTTTACATTCTCAATATATAAAGAAAGAATAGCGCTAATACATGTATCATCACTACAAATAATTTATGGTTACAATTTATATACCGTAAATCATTGTACGTAATACTATAAGTATGCAAATCTGCATAATTGCTCCTCTATATATAAAAAATATCTAAATTGAAGAGATCATTTAAAAAAAATTAAGGAATAGCATTTTGTATGTGCCTCGGTATATGCGCTCGTTTCTAAAATTTTTTACGATTTGCACTAATATTGGCGACTGCATACTGATTTAATGAACATATAAAAAAAGTGATAAAAGCCAGATGATTAATAGTAAGCTTGTTATTACAATTATTTTAATGTACATATGTACTCGTATGTACTTTGTAAAGATTTTTATTTGTAGAAATACTTAGACATTAAGAACTGCATTAAGGGTATGTTAAGTTAGCACCCCAACTATAGTACTCAAGAGTTCTGATTAGAGTTCCCTCTTCCTTTTGACGAGACGAAGAGTTCCCTATAGTTAATAACAAGGGTTCCGCTCAATAAACATTTTTTTTACATTTTTTAAAAATGGGGTGCTAACTTTTTATCGAATTTCGAGGTGGAATAGTTCTGAGCGGCTTAATAGCTTCAATTTGCGATTGCCTAGAGTTCCTGATATGTAAAAAAAATTTTCGAATAATAAAAAAAAATTAAAAATTTTTGAAAAATTAATTTTTAGATACAATAGTTCTGATGATAATTCCTGCTTCTTTTTGACGATACGAAGAGTTCTCTATGATTTTTAATGACATATGCGTTTAATAATCATTTTTTAATAATCATATCTTAAAATTGGCGTGTCACGCTTTTTTGAAGCCTCTATTCGATGAGGCAGTTAAAGTAATCCGAAAATGGTGAATTTTGGTAACAAGGAATTTTCGGGGACGCTCTTTTAAAAACATGATAAAAAAAAGAATCGCGCGCTCTGTGAAGTTGGCACCCCTAAATGCGAATATTGGTAAAATCATTATTGCATTCGTTTGTCCACTGTTTGTCCACGTTTGTCCATCCGTTATTTTCTTTGGTCCACCACGCAAAAAAAGGTTATACACAAAAAAAATTGTAACATCCCCAAGTGATAATTTTTCATAATTATGTACGGGTATCGTTTGTCCACAACGCGCACGTGATTGTCCACCCTATTTTTATTATATTTTTCGTAATAATATAAAATAATCACTTGGGGGTGTTACAATTTTTTTTGTGTATAACTTTTTTTTGGAGGGTGGACCAATGAAAATAACGGATGGACAAACGTGGACAAACAGTGGACAAACGAATGCAATAATGATTTTACCAATATTCGCATTTAAGGTGCCAACTTCACAAAGCAGCTCTATAAAGTTGGAATCTGTAAATGCGAATATTGGTAATATCATTATTACATTCGTTTGTCACTGTTTGTCCACATTTGTCCATCCGTTATTTTCATTGGTCCAACCTCCAAAAAAAAGTTATGGACAAAAAAAATTGTAACACCCCCAAGTGATTATTTTACACTATTACGAAAAATATAATAAACATAGGGTGGACAAACGAAAATAATGGGTGGACAAACATGGACAAACAGTGGACAAACGAATGTAATAATGATATTACCAATATTCGCATTTACAGATTCCAACTTTACAGAGCTTTGTGAAGTTGGCACCTTAAATGCGAATATTGGTAAAGTCATTATTGCATTCGTTTGTCCACCTGTTATTTTCATTTGTCCACCCTCCAAAAAAAAGTTATGCATAAAAAAAAATTGTAACACCCCCAAGTGATTATTTTACACTATTACGAAAAATATAATAAACATAGGGTGGACAAACGAAAATAATGGGTGGAAAATAACGGTGCAAACCGTTGGCCTAATCGCTTTTCCACCTTACAGTTTTCGATAGAACTCGTCGAGTACTATAAGAAACGCAACTCAGAACTACTCGGTACTCTCAAAAAATTTTCAAAGGTTTCTACTATTTTTTTTAAACTTTATTATTCTTCAAAAATGTTTCTTATGTATCAAGAACTGTAGGTATTCACAAAATACTTCTGTTAAGCTGATCAGAACTATGCGACCTTGAATTTCGGTAAAAAGTTAGCACCCCATTTTTAAAAAATTATTAAAAAATGATTATTAAGCGCATATGTCATTAAAAATCATAGAGAACTCTTCGTATCGTCAAAAAGAAGCAGAAATTATCATTAGAACTATTGTATCTAAAAATTAATTTTTCAAAAATTTTTAATTTTTTTTTAATATCCGAAAATTTTTTTTACATATCAGGAACTCTAGGCAATCGCAAATTGAAGCTATTAAGCCGCTCAGAATTATTCCACCTCGAAATTCGATAAAAAGTTAGCACCCGATTTTTAAAAAATGTAAAAAAAATGTTTATTGAGCGGAACTCTTGTTATTAACTATAGGGAACTTTTCGTCTCGTCAAAAGGAAGTGGGAACTCTAATCAGAACTCCTGTGTACTATAGATGGGGTGCTAACTTAACATACCCCTGCATTAATCTTATACACTCTAAAAAATATCAGTACGAATTTAACACCCATACGGTGTCCATATAACTCATACTGTATTGATATTAATATTAACCCGTAGTGGTCACACTGGGTCTGTCTGACCCGAGGCAATTTTTGAGTTGATGTAGTCAATAGATCAAGTAGAACGCAAATGGCGACTGTTTTTTTGCGTCGGATCAACTGGACCCAGTGTGACCAATACGTTATTTTGAAGAGGTTGACCACTACGGGTTAACATTAATATGGTGTGGATTTTTGATTTTTATATCAGCACCATCACCACGTTTAAAATCTATGTTTTATCTATAATATACTATTGATGTTAATATTAATACGAGGACAGTGAGAATTATATAGACATCCCTATTTTTTCGAGTTTAAATTATAACATGTTTTTAATAATTAAATTATTTATTTTATTTAATATAAACTACATCAATATTAATATTTAAGAAATAAGTGTCTTAAATACTGAAATGATTAAACGACGATAAATATCTGTGCACACTTGTTGAGCACGTGTAGACAATTATTGTATAGTTTAAAAAATTAATTACACACACACACTAAAACATCACGGGGATTTTCTTTGCTATTAACAAATTAGTCATTCGACTCGGTTATTGATAACTTTGTATAAATCTTTATAAAAAGAACGATGCTAATTATCAGTTATTATATATATGATCTATATTATATCTGACATGCTACAATTATTAATTAGTGTGCTATTATCAAATAAAAATCCATCGACAGCTTGAACCTTATGCTCCGACAAATGTCAAGTTTGCTCTTCCTTAATTGCAGAGTACTAATAATCGAATCTTTCACGGATAATGCTCGACCGGTTTCACGATAATTATTCTTGCTGTAACTTTTTGTGAATCAAACTGAGATGATCAGTGAGTCAGTGTTGCGACCTTGAATCACATCAGCAAGTATTTTATGCTTTTCACAAATCGTAAATTTGATGTTACTTTCACTGATAGTTTTGCTTTATTTGTCTCATATCCCTTTATCAATTTTACAATTTTTGTAGTGATATTGCAAAAGAAGATAAATTATATTATTAGAAATAGATATTTATTTAATACACAGAATTCGATTTTGATTCAAAGTCTTTTTATCTATATCTATATTGTAATGTTCTTCCTTCGCTTAACATTTCTAAGAATTCATGGAAAGATAAGTACTATTTTTTAAATCCGTATGTGATTAATTGCTATCTTTGATGATATATGAGCTAAAGAAATAGTATGTTACTACGTCATTGTACAATTTTTTAAAAAACTAACTTAAATAAAAAATGATTCTAATTGATAAACAATTTGAAAAATAAGAGATACTCATTTTTACAAAAAAAAAGACGTATTTAAACTTAATATATTATGTACGAATCTTTACAAAAAAGTCTTTTTGCAGTACATTATTATGAGTAGATTATTTTTGCTTAAATATTTATTTGAAAGAAGATTTTATCCTTTCCACTGAAAAAGCATTAAGTATAACGTCAAATTTCAATGATTAATAACATATTAATTAATTAATAACATATAAATATCAAGGTTGTGCGTAAAATATAATAAAATATAATATAAACTGTGTATATAATGTAAACTATATAAATTACGTTTTACACGTTTGTAAATTATAATTTTCTATATAAACCAGCTATGGATTATCCAAGCTTATGTTTTTTATGTTGCACTGGATTCCACTAAAACTTCTATTTCGCTTGTATATTTTTATTTTTCAATATTAAGATTAGTCATATTAACAATAATAAAACTTAATTACTTTTTTCTGTATTGTATTATCCAATTTATATAACAATTTACATATTGTATATGCATAATTATCTACACGAGAAAAATTTGTGTAAACTTGACATAAACAGAATGTAAATTATTTTTATAAACGCAATTTTTTAATATAAGATACAACATTGATAAATGATAACTAATTATTTAATTCACGCTATCATTTATCCGTCATTCTTACTCATGTACCGTCTGCTGATACTATGGCTAAAATGATTAAAGTCGTTGATAAGTCAGATTTCTGTTATTCCATTCCATTGCCAAAGTTATTATTTAAGACATCGGTTATTTCAAAGATGTCGCGATTAGTTCAAGATTATAATCTTGATTTAACAGTTTCTCAAGGAGATAACTGATCTGCACAATCATTTGTATATATAGTACTATTAAAATAATATCCAAGTTTAATTGGCCGATTATTTCTTCAAATCAATGATCGAATTATTCGTCATTTAGTTTAATAATAAATAATGATTTAAGAGCACAATAATATAGATTTTATAAAAATATATAGCACACATAGTTGCAAAAATGAAGCATAGCTTCTTTATTTAACATTGTTTTATCGATTTTTTTTACGGTTTTGTTGTTTACATTGAAAAAGACCAAACCTTCTAGTCGAAATGTTTGTGTTTTTTGTATCTAATTACAATTTGAATGTAACTCTGTATTGCTAACAACCATAAGGCTTTCATTGGTTACCTTGTTTTTTTTTTATTGTCTTATTATAATATTTATTTTTTTTAGTATGAATAAAAAAAAGCATTCAATTTTCACAAATCTTTTTATTATTATTATCATTATAAATATATATTATCTTTATACATATTAAGATATGTATTTATATATATTAAGATAATATATATGTATATATTTTATCTGTATAAGATGCCATAATGGAAAGTTATGAAGTTCTTGATACTAAGATATCAATATCTTACTTTCTTTTAACCCTTTTAACCTCTCATTGAGCAAGATTCATGTTTCATTACAACTTATCTTCGTGCGAATCAATTTCCTGGAAACACGATGAAATAGGAAATTTTAAAATAAGACTAATAAGAGAAAAAATAATAAATTACATCACGAATTGCGCGTACGCGTAGTATTGCTATCATAGCTGAATTGATATCGTTATTAGGAATTTTTATATAATTA